ATCTATATATTTATACATTCATATACGTATATATAATAAATAAAGTATAAAATATATAAATAAATAACTGAAATTGCAGTTAGTCTCGTCCATCGTAAGGGTTGTAGAAAGATGCTGCAAATATTAGTTAATTGAAGTAACGATGTTTCTTACCATTTAAAAGGAAAATTTATAGTTTTATAGTTTTGTTCATTTAGCAGCTTTTGTTTTCTCAGTTATGTTTGAATATTTAAAAATGAATAGTCAATACAGGAATAACGCTTCGAAATTTGTTGTTATTTTTAAAATGTTATAAAAATTATAATAAAGGCAAAAAAACAAAAATACATAAATTTTGATAAAAGAAGATGAAGCAAAATTGTTCCTTTTGGCGAACTAGCATTGAGTTATCCTCACTTTTATACAAGTCAATGTTTGTCATACCTCTTTACAGCTGAAAACAGCAAATATCTAAGTACTTTCACCGTAATGGTGTGACGTCTCAAATGAGGTTTGAGACTTTTGAGTTTCTATCTGAAAAGAAGAACTTAACGATACCTTTGCATTGTAGAAAACTATAATCTAAGGTAATTCATCTTAGAGTATTGCAAAAAGAAAATATTTTTTTGCACCAGTGCTTGATTCTGTTTAGCGCATTATAAAAAAGACGCGGTATCCATTTTTTTTTTTCAAAAAATTTTGCTTATATTAAGTCCGGCCTTGGCAAAAGGATTTACAAGTTCCTTGGTTTTGTTGACAGGACAATTAGTGAAACAAATCCTACGTTTTATTTTTGAAAAAGCCATCTGTATGTAATTTTGAATATGCTTTGTAGATATTATAATAATATAATTTGTAGATCGATTGGTAAATATGCTTAGTCTTTCATATCAAAATATTCAACATATTCAACATTATAAATCAATAAATAATTCAGTTATACCATTAGTGTTCTAATGCAACTCAGAAATCATATAAATAAACATTTTTTTTTGCTTTTTAATTCGTATGCATATAAATAAATTTTCAACGTACATCTATATTATGACGTTGCAAGAATTCCAGACTACGATGACATTCATTTTGTATTTAAATTTTGTCACTTTCAATAAAATTTATAATAACATTCAAAATCAAAAAGTCTAGATTATTTAAATTATTTCTCTTAATAATACGCATTTACTGGCCTAAGTGCTTTAAGGAAAAAAAAATTTGATGACAAAATTAGTTTTAATTTACGAGAGCATCAGTCTTTTGGAAGAGTTTTTTACTTTTTTATTCTATTTTGCTCTCCAAATGTCACCCATTGCATTTTATGCGATTGGCGTTATTGTTTTAGAATATATATGTGTATGTATTGCTTAGCTTTATGCTTGCAAGTACTTCATATTCACATACACTCTATATAGGATATATGTTTGTATTTCGGTTAGAAGTATAAGGATATATATATGTACATATAAATAAGTTTACTTTACTCTGAATATTTTGATGCCGAATTTGAATGGGGAGAGTTGTTATTTTGTTGTCCCCCGTTTAGTTGACAATTTTATGTGCGATTAATTATTTGGGATATTACACCAAGATATGCTTGTAACTAGAAAAATAACTATTTCGTCGGATTGAAATTTTTTTGCTTTAATGACCTATATACCGCGATAGAAGTTATATCACGCAATCTAGCCTCGCGCCAATACAAAATTTTAAGAGTATTTTTTCGACTTTTGCAATATTTTTAGGGATATGCCGTGATTACATTAAACTTCACATGCTAAATTAAGGCGAAGTAAATGGACTATTTCTAGTAAGAATTATCTTCATTCCGACTTAATTGACTTCAATAAAATGTTATCTCTGATCTAAATTTGTAAGAATATTGATTGAAGTTATTTGCGTACGTACTTTTCTCTATTTTCCATGCGTTGAGCTTCAGAATTTTGTTTTGGCTTAGTTTCGCTTGTTTGCGACTATTAAAATATTCTTAACCAAATTAAAGCACTTAGGATTGGGATAAGTTTGATAGTGAATACAAATCATGTTAAATAAATAAGTGACTAAGAAAAAAATATTTTAGTTCCATCAAATGATGTTTGAATTAAAATTGACTTTGTATTAGTAATCAATTTGCAGGTTCTTCTTCGGCATTGGACTTAAATTATTCTGTAAAAAATTGTAAAAGTCCAATTGTAAAAACTGGAAATAGAAGTAAGTACTAAAATATTTAGACAATACTAAATCAGATAAACTAGACAGCATTTTAAGAAATATTTTTAAAATACGAAATAATTATTCAAACGCTTTATTTGATAGATCGAACTAGATACAACTATAATAGATCGAACAGTTAATTTTTTTATTCTGTTTATTGATCTAAAATTTCTGTGTATAATGTTGCTCAATAGGATCTCGAAATTTTTTATATAGTTCAACACAATCATGCTACATGCAATCCTGCTAGCAATAGTTCGTATAAATTCTCTTAATACTATATCATTTACTCAGAAAAGGTGTTCAATGGAAGGAGTTCACCGCAATATTAAATTAATAATAAATTAGTTCTATAATACCAAATAATATTCCGGAGTAGATTCATTTTTTTCTCTTTTATCCTCAATTACGCAAAAGTAAACTAATTTTCTTCTCCGCATACATTTCCATGAACGTTTTTCTATTGTATTTGTATTTTTTTCATATTGATCACCCGTGTAAATTAACCCCACGTCTGCATACTTTTGAAAAAAGTTACTTGTTCGCCATTAGTCGACCTCATCGTTTAAAATTGGAAAATTAAAAATACAAACAAGACAGAAAAAAAAATTCACTTTCTAATGAAGTTTAAGGATGAAATTTATTTTACCTTGTCTATGCTGGATTAAGGTAAATAATAATATGGAAAATCCCTCAAGTAAATAATTAATTTTTTGTTTTTTCTTCATCTAGTATACTAAAAATAAGGAAGAAAAAAATTTGAAAAAAAAGAGAACGAAAAAAAAATTATTTTTCTTTTTTTTTTTTAAGTAAACAAGGAAAAAGTGAATTTATTTTTTATCTAACATCACAGGATATATAAGGAAGGAAAAACGAATATCCTGACAAAGTGAAGTTTACTGAATACATTCATAATGTATAAAAATAACTCACAACTTTTCTCCTATATAGAGTCGAAGAGCATATGAATATTCTTGCGTGTCATAATCAAATTTAATTTTAGTTTATTTTTTTGTACATACCAACATTTTTCGCTGTAATTTAGATCGCCTAGAATATTCATTTTTTATACATTCTGGAGGTTCTCATTTCGTATTTATTCTCTAGACTTGCCAACTTTACTTTTGATTATTTTAAACAATTTTGAGATCAAGAAAACTCTAAAATTATTTTATAATTGAAATTGTGCTCAAAATGTCAGGAAAATAAAATTCAAAATGGCTACACAGAAAAACAAGTCTGCTTTGTTCCGTTTTGAGGGGTTGACTCGCAAGGGCGGGCGCGGGACTAATTATAAAGTAATTTTGTCTAATAAAATAAATTTAACGATTTTTTAAAAATGTTGAAATTAGAGATGTGCATATGAAAGTACCGAGTACAGAGAATGCTTTTTTCCAGAATGCTTGCGAAATGAATGAAAAAAATAATATCATATGGTCACTCTTGAACCTCGTAATGCAATAAATCTCTATATAATATGCATAGAAAATTTCTTTAACGTAATATTTTTCGCAAATTTTTCGAATGAAGTTGAATGCGAAAAAGAAAAACAAAACTAAAATAGAAAAATCTACTGAAAAAGTTAATTCAAAATTAATTTAACTCTCCAAACTTTTTTCAGGTATAAATCTAATTCTTTTTTCACAAAAATGTATGATTAACAGCAGCATGCAAGTTTATATCTGTGTGTAATCGTATACCTATAGTAAATGAAGGCGCTACGGTTAGTAAAATGATAGATACCACATTGTACGGTATAGGAGAAGAGAATATTCTCTTTTAAAGCAAAAATATACATAATATAAATATGCACGTACGTTTCTTAGTAATTTATTATGGCAAATGTAGAAAGGGTTTTTTTTTTCAACTAACTGTATATGCGTCACAGATCACAAGATATTTCTGGCAATGAAAGTTGACGTTAATATGTGTTGTAGCAGTGAATAAGGTTATAATTATGCAGTATGTAACGCTAAATTCTACGTCCCTATGTATTTGCAAAAATATATAGTATGAAAGGGAAATAGAAAATTATGATGAAAAAAAATTCGGATTCGTTTAGCTGTTGTTCCAATCACAGAAACTTTAGTGACTGACTATTAATATAAGGTATTTATGTGTAAGTAAATTTTATTTTTTTAGATTCTTAATTTTAGTGAAATAGATTAAGAGCGATATTAAAAAAAGATGTCTACACCGTAAATTTAAAATTCTCCACTGCAATTACAAAAATTTTATGATGAATTTTAAGAGAAATTTTAATTTTAAGCTTTCACTTGCTTTAGTAATTTAAATGTTAGTAGAAAATTCGTTCTCAAAGAAAGTATGATAATTTTTTATTTATATGTATGCTCCCTGTAAAACATGTTATATTGGCTATTTTAGTCTAGATCTATCAAATCTAGATTCAAATCTACATAATTTTTCAAAAATACATGTTTTTTATAAAATTATTTATCTACAAAATGCTCTAGGAGCTTGAGGTTTGGTGGGGTAAAGACTTCTCTAAAGAAGAAGTGATTATTATTATCATCGGTCAAAAGTGGTGCCCACATGAGCGTATGAACGTGGCACAATTTCTTTATAACTATCCATAGTTTTTTTACGATCAATTACAGTATAATAATCTACCTCATTTTCCTTTTTAATTTAGAGTTACATTACTTTTCTGTGTGACAGTTTCATACAATTTGCGACTATTTTGTATAATATCCAATTGAATTGCTTAAAAACTCTTTCAAAACTATTTAGGTTTATCAAAAAGTGTATTTCATAGATCATTAAATTTAGTAAGAAAATCTACTCATACTTACATCGCATGTTGATTGACTGATATTTTGTAAATTTAGTCTATATATCCGATCCCTGTGAAATAAAAACAAATGTTTTAATTGTTATAAAAAAAATAAAAAACAAAATTTTTCTGAATAAAATTTTAATTTTATTATAAAAATAATATATAAATTAAATTAATTTAAATATCGTACAACAACCGAATGTTATAAAATCCATTGATTTAAAATGGAAATTTTTTCACATTTAATAAACATGTATATTATGCCAATTAATATTTGCTTTATTCGAGCTTTCGAACAAAACCTTGGGAAAAAGCACATTTCCAACTCACATGTGTAATTATCGTTGCTCATTTGTAAGTATTAAAACGATTTTAGTTTTAGCAGCTAAGGGCCTAAAAATTAACGCTATGAGATAACAGTTATTGATGGAACGGTTAAGATGACGGCAAGAATTCTGAAATTAATTTGCGTTATTGTCTAAGATAGCGAGGTTTCTGTGTTTGGAGTATCAAATTATTCTTGCTTGGGAGATAGGCGAATTTGATTTTACAAAATAAATTTTTCCTCACCCGAATTCATTCCTAAATTTTAACATTTTGTTTAAAAAACTCATCAAAATTTGAGATTGAATAGCTAATCAATTAGGCAGACCTGATATACGAGTATTCAAAGTATTTCAAAATTTTTAAATTGCTAAAAATAAATCACTGCATTTTTTACGCTTCATTAAATACATATATATAAGTACATTATTTTTGAATAAATTTAAAATTTATTCATTGGACATAATTAATATTTTCCACATAAACTACGCATACAATGTATTTTATATTATAAATTTGTCATTGTAGTTGTTGCAAGAAGTTTAAAGGCGAAAAGGAAATATTATTGTGGAACTACTGCGTATGTATATTATGCTAAATACATTGATTTTAAAAATAGCGAATAATTTTTCATTACTTTAGATGCAAATTAATGCTAATTAATATCAGAATTGAAATTTCAACAATTGAGTTTAAAAAATAATAATGCCACATCCGAATTTTGTCTGCGGGAAAGGATGAAATGGAATTCAAACTGGGAAACGAAATCTTTAAGTTTGAAATTTAATTTTAAATTAATCCCTACAATATGATTTGTAATGATTGTTAGGAGATTCATCTTATAACGAGTTTCAAAATTTATTTCTGTTGGCAAATGAAACGATCCCAATTTTGCAGAGACTGTCCATGTCAAGAGAATTGAATAACTTCACCGAGTTTATTTTATAAAATATTTTCTCTCTGAAATCTCATGCAAGTTTTTCGTGTTTCTTATCATGCTTATGCAACAGTTCTGTTCATATAAAAACCTTGTTGCACATACTTAATTCAAGTTATTGCACAAAATAATCGAAAACCTACGTAAGTCCTCTTTGATATGAAAATAAATACAATAAAATTTTGTTAGAAAATACTTACATTGCGCCTACAAACAATGAATCTCTTTCTTCATCCAAATGGAAAGTTCTATAATATAATTTACCACAGTTGAACTCTCTAACATGATCTGAAAAATAAACAAAGTATAAATAAAATTTTTTTTTAATTTGGTATTCAAAATCAATAGAAAAAATCTTTATTTTTTTTTTTCTTATTCTATATAAGTATTTATAAAAATTTTCAAGTTTTCAAAGGTTATCAAAGTTTAAGAGCAAATCCATTAATGGTCTTATAAGATACTTATTCAATGTAGTTTTCTCAGTTTATTTTGGATAACCATTAGCATATTTATAACAGCTACTAAACAGTTTTATATTTATTCTATAGTATCGTCAATTTTTACTACTACCACTGTATTTAATAAATTATACGTTTCTTATAGAAAATTCTATTTTCCTTTTTAACACTACAAGTTTAAAAAAAAATTCGAATTTTTTTTAGAAGTTTATATTTCGTTTGATTGTCTGTCTTCCCTACTTTAATATACTGTGATTTCAGATATGAATTTAAAAGTTGAACAGAATTTTTAAATATTTTCGATTGATTGAAAGAATTTTATAGGTTGTCGAAGAACCTTCTTTAGCAAGCGCAGTGGACAGGTAAATCTTTATTACAAAATATTATTTCCGGCAGTTTTACACCTCTAGTAAAGAAAATCATTTCAATTTCAGATTTTGTCAGTTAGCAATTCATTCAATAAGTACGAGAAATAATTATGGAAAGCATTGAACATTAATTTTCAAAAATATGATCCGCTATAACTTAGTAAAAGAACTGATTTTCAGTCAAATTTGTGTAAAATCTTACGAACTTCCGAACTTAAAGAGCATTTTATAAATTTAAAATCCGAATTTAGTTAAAATTTTATTTAAAAAATAGATTGCTTTACTATTTCATACTCATAATTGCAATGTTCTTACTAAAAGAATTTGACTTACTGCAATGATAATGCAATTTTATGAGTGATATTATAAAAGACAATTCGAATAGGTCTTGAATTGATCCGTAACACTGCATAATATTGGTATCATAGTGTACTACATAGATTTCATATAGCTTTAAACGGGAATACTTCTTAATTCTTAAAAATATAAAAGTAATAAAAATAGATGTAGAAGAAAATAAATCCTTGCAACTCAAAGCATGGACACTTCCTTTTACGTATATAGAAAATTATATTGTGAAAAAATATACTGAAAATTGAAAAATTTTCTTCTTTTGTTTCCCGACATCGTGTATAATAAGAACACTCTATAGATACACAAAAATATGTTACTCATATAATATATATATATATATATTATATGAGAAAATGTCAGAATGTCATTTTACATATGATTTTTATACCTATATTCTATGTTATCAATTTGTATATGCGTATATTTAGTGTATAGGTTCAAGATATAGTGTAATCTATATTTAGTGTATAATGAAAACACAGTTAAGTTTCTTAAAGATTTGTTTGAAGATTTTCATTTGTAGATAATTTTTAACAAAAGGAAAATAATGAATGGCGAATGAAAGAAATTGTCTTTAAATTTAGCAAAATTTAGTTGACTTTGTATATAAAATAGACACATAATATAAAATGAATGAAATGGAATGAAGTGGCTGACACAAACTGTGAGGTATTTTGGTCTTATTGTTCAAGCAACCACTATTTTGTAGCTTGTATATTGACCGCAACTATTCACATGCGAGGAGATAATATTCCCGATTTTTCTTTTCTTTTACAACCTTGTTGTATAGTCATTAAAATTATTTTTATATAAGTTATAAGTTTTCATACAAGTTTAAGTTGAAAAGAGATAAATTTCGTCCATCTTGAATAATGAAAGAAGTTGTGTAAACGCTTACGAGAATAAACAAACAGATTGAAGCTAATAGGTAGATTTTTTCCAAAATTTTTAAAATTTTTAAGATAACTTCACTAGCTTTGTATTTTTTAAAGAGAAGTCTTAAATTCTATAGCAAAAAATTGGTTGTTCACTTAATACCATCGTGGGTTTCTTACTTTCGATTTTTTTTTAAAACAATCTTTTTTATTGTACCCATATACGAACGAATGTTCGAAGAAATAAGCAAATTTTCACATTTTAGTCATATTTTCACATTTTGAGATTTATCATACAACTCTAAATATAACCGAAATATATTTTGGAAACTCCGAAGCATGAAGTTACTAAATGAGTTTAGTAATTAAATGAGTTAAATCAATAAAGTTACTAAATGAGTTTAAATCAAAAAGTTGTCAAAATGTAGTTGTGGTGTTTTTAGTGTTACAATATCACCCATGCAAATTCAAAAATTATTTAGTTGCACCTCAGAAACTGTGAAGCCCACAGAATGTAAATTTCACAGTAACAGGTCAATAGTATTCTTAAGCAGGGTTATCTTTATTAAAATAACAGCAATACTTTTACGAGAGCCATCGTTGTCTTTTGCATAACAATTGAAAAACTTCCATACGAGTGTCACGCTGTCATATTCTATATTTTCCAAAATTGTATTTATTTCCTGTTTTCGACGTGGTCTTTTTAATATCCTTACCTCATGGTACCATAAGAGAACCGATATGCTCAATCTTGAATTAAAAATATAATATGTCGCGTTCGTTTTTATAAAGTAGAAAACGTACCTACATTAAAAACGAAAAATTTTAACTTCCAATCGTAAAAATTTTATATTAATGTTAAGAAATAAATCGTTATTTACTTAGTTCGGGCACAAACAACAACAAATTATAGTGCCAAATAATAACACTTAAATTCCGTTATATATAGAAAATGAGACTAAAAATACAATATGGGTTAGAAATACAATGTGTAAGTATAACTTTTGTTTTATATATATGTACGACATAAGGATACATTGAGTCGGACAAAAAAATATTTACAAATATTTGTTAAACTCTTGTCTTTCAAAAAACAATAAATTGATTTTCTTTGAGTTTCTTTGATTATTTCCTATCCCTTTATTTTATTCTATATTATACTCATTTATAGAAAAAATATAACAAAAGCCAAGACTGGAGCTATAACGTTCTATTCTCCTCTTATATATTGTGCGCATTATATACAAAAGTTATAAGGATTTTTTTCTATTTTCTATACATTATTTGATTTATGTTTAAGTTTTAAGGAAACAATGAAATAAGATAAGAGAAGTAGACATTTCTCCCACATACTTTTATTCTAGTTTAAGTCCCACATAGTAGTACGTTCTTATATAGTACGCGTCAAAAAAGAAAAAAAAATATTGGAGTGATAAGTCTGGGTGAGAGTAACCCAAACAAAATGAAAAAAAAAAGAAATGAAAGAAAATAAATATGAAAACAAAGTGAAAACAAAATATTAAAGAAAGACTCGAAGAATAAGTGGTCAAAACTATGGTGTATGTGAAGAATCAGGGTAAAAAAAAAAGTGAAAAAGGAAATTCTTGTCAAGGAAAGGAATCAAATATTTATGCGAAATATTTGGATATTTTTTCTCCTCTTCTTATCTTGTTTTCTTTTGTTTTAATTTTCATTTTCCTTTGATTGATTTTCACTTATAATATCAAATTTCAGTTTTTTTTTTGTGTATTTTATTTTTTTACAGCCTATGTTTTTTATTTCCTTAGAGTGAAGTGGTGATATTTTGAGCTTTCCGTCTATTTTGTCAAATATTTATTTGTTTTGCTCTTATTGTTTTTTATGGAGACATGGTAATTCCAGATTTTCTTTTCCAAATAAACTAATTTGGATTATGTTTACTTTCACGTTTTTAGGATTTTTGTAATGTTGAAATAAAGGGATATAAGATTGCTTATATGATTTATGTAAAAAATTAACTGTGATAAAAAAAAATTATTAATTCAATGGTGAAAAAGGCTGTGAAACTTTAATTATTGCAATGAACTCTCATATTCTGCCTAAAGGAAGATAAACCAACTTTTTCATTAATTATGATTTTTCATTTGAAATTAATAAATAAAAATAATTAGAAATATATTTAAGAAAAACGGCAAGTTTTATTGAGAAATAAAATGCAAACTTCAAATTTAATGACCACAGAGAAATTAATAATTAAGAAAATAAATAATATTGTATTGAAACGAATGCTAAGGTCTTTTCGAAGTGAGTTGCGCTTAGGTTGTACGCCACTGTTTTAAATAATGTTATTCAATAAAAGTTTTGTGACATATGAAAAAATTGTTCCAAAATTATTCATTTTCAGTAAATTTTAATTATTTTGTTCTTAAAGAACAGATAAGGTTATTCTTTACCAGTAATTGACTTCGAAAGTTTAAAGAACCATGCAGAATATAGGCTAAAATTATTTACAATTATAACTGAATTTCGTTATTCTTTTAAAGTCCACGAATTAGACAATCGAATATTGTGAATAAACATGAAATTTAAAATTTTATTTTAAAATTTAACCTAGAAATTTTATGAATCAAACCAAAGTTCATTAAGAAAAATATTTAAATTTCTTGAAATCTGTTACGGAATTTATGTTTTGAATTAAAAATGAACACAAGTAGACCATTGTAAAACACTATTGAAACAAAACATTTTAAATTAGTTAATCAAATGTTTAATTAATTATAAAATAAAATGAATTAAGATTTATTTAAAATAATGTTTTTGAAAATATATAAAAAGTTCGTAATAATAGATCTCTTATATTAGACAATAGTTCTCTCTAGTGGACATTAAATAATGTTCTCTTCCATTTAAAATGGTTATTTATTTGTATTTGAAATTCATTATGTACAAACATGCTTGTATCTATATTTATTATTTCAATATATAAATGTATATATATATATTATATTATAATTCATCTGATTAATTGTTCATATTATTTAATGTCCTCTTAAAAACTTGAACCTATAAATTTGTCAATTATACTAATTTAGAACAAGAATTGTCAATATTTACCAAACAAAAATTTTTCGTATTTCTTTAGACATGAACATTAGTATGTACATATATATATATATATATAGATTATTTTCTGTATTTCTTATGCAATAAAATTAATGCTTAAGAAGGATAATGATTAATTATATTTATTTTGA